TTGAGGAGTTTTTTGGTGGAGTCTGCAGGGTTTTCTATGTACACTATCATGTCATCTGCAAACAATGATAGCTTTACTTCCTCCTTTCCTATTTGGATGCCTTTTATTTCTTTTTCTTGTCTGACTTCTGTGGCTAGGACCTTCAATACGATGTTGAAAAGAAGTGGTGAAAGTGGATATCCTTCTTGTGTTCCTGATCTTAGTGGGAAAACTTTTAGTTTTTGCCCATTAAGTATGATGTTGGCTGTAGGTTTTTCATATATGGCCTTTATTACATTGAGGAATGCCCCATTTATTCCCATTTTGCTGAGTGATTTTTTTTGGGGGGGGGGGAGTTTTTATTTATATACACATAAAAAAGTATGACAAGAAGAATTGGAAATAGAGAATATAAACAATCCTTTTAAAGAAAGAGTTTTGATGTAAAGCCGAGCAGAAGAAATGACCAAGTAAACTGAAGTGAGGTTCATTTCTTTTTATATTGTACTGGCAAAGGACATCAAGTAGAATGATTAATAGAAGCATTGATAATGGGCATTGTGTTGTTTCTTGATGCTAAAAAGAAATCTAAAGTTTTACCATTTTTTGCTGAGTGTTTTGATCATAAATGGGCACTGTACCTTACTGAATGCTTGTTCTGCGTCTATCGAGATGATCATGTGGTTTTTGTCTTTTCTTTTATTTATGTGATGTATTACGTTTATTGACTTGCTTATGTTGAACCATCTCTGCATCCCTAGGATGAATCTCACTTGATCATGGTGGATAATCTTTTTAACGTATTGCTGGATGCAGTTTGCCAATATTTTGTTGAGGATTTTAGCATCTACGTTCATCAGTGAAATTGGCCTGTAGTTTTCTTTCTTTGTAGAGTCTTTATCTGGTTTCGGGATTAGGGTGATGCTGGCATCATAAAAAGAGTCTGGGAGTCTTCCCTACTCTTGGATTTTTTTGGAATAGTCTGAGAAGGACAGGGGTCAGCTCTTCCTTAAACGTTTTGTAAAATTTTCCTGTGAAACCGTCCAGCCCTGGGCTTTTGTGTGTCGGGAGTTTCTTGATTACTGCTTCAATTTCCCCAGCTATTATCGGTCTATTCAAGCTTTCTGTTTCTTTCTCCTTCAGTGTTGGAAGATTATACTTTTCTAAAAATTTGTCCATTTCATCAAGGTTTTCAAATTTCTTGGCATATAATTGCTCATAGTAGTTTCTGACAATCTTTGGTATTTCTGTGGTATCAGTTGTTATTTCTCCTTCTTCATTTCTGATATTATTAATTTGGGTCCTCTCCCTTTTTTCCTTGATGAGTCTGCTTAAAGGCTTGTCAATTTTATTTATCCTTTCAAAGAACCAGCTTCTGGATTGGTTGATCTTTTGAATTGTTCTTTTCATCTCTATGTCATTCAATTCTGCTGTGATCTTGATTATTTCCTTCCTTCTCCTTGCTCTGGGATTTATTTGTTGTTGTTTCTCCAGTTCTTGAAGTTGTAGTGTTAGGTCTTTTATTTGAAATGTTTCTATCTTTTTTAGGTAAGCCTGTATTGCTATGAACTTCCCTCTCAGGACTGCCTTTGCTGTGTCCCATAGGTTTTGGACTGTTGTCTGTTCATTTTCATTTGTTTACAGAAATTTTTTGATTTCTTCTCTTATCTCATTATTGACCCATTCATTGTTTAATAGTCTACTGTTCAGTCTCCATGAGTTTGCAAGTTTTTGAAGTTTCTCTTTGAGGCTGATTTCCAGTTTCAAGCCCTTCTGGTCTGAGAAAAAGTTTGGTATTATTTCAATTTTCCTGAATTTGCTGAGGCTTGCTTTGTGTCCTATCATGTGGTCTGTCTTTGAAAAACTGCCATGAGCATTTGAAAAGAATGTGTATTTTTCTTCTTTGGGATGTAAGGTTCTATATATGTCAGTTAAGTCTCTTTGATTCAGTGTGTCATTCAGGGCCACAATATGTTTATTAATGTTTTGTTTGGAAGATCTGTCCATTTTTGACACTGGGTTGTTGAAATTCCCTACTATCAGTGTGTTGCTGTCTATATCTTTTTTGAAGTCATCCAACAATTTCCTTATATACTTGGGGGCTCCTATATTGGGAGCATAGAAGTTTACAATGTTGATGTCTTCTTGATAGATTCTTCCTTTAAGTATTATAAAGTGCCCCTCTGGGTCTCTCTTTATGGCCTTCGTTTTGAAGTCTATTTTGTCTGATACAAGTAAGTTCAACCCCGGCCTTTTTCTCTTGCCCATTTGCTTGGAATATTTTTTTCCATCCCTTTACTTTGAATCTGTGTAGGTCTCTTGGTCTGAGGTGGGTCTCTTGTAAGCAGCTTATGTGTGGTTATGTTTTCTTATCCATTCAGCTACCCTGTGTCTTTTGATTGGGGCATTAAATCCATTTACATTGAGAGTTATTACTGATAGAAACTTATTCATTTTTTCTCTTTGTACCTGTGTTTTTCTCTTTCTCACTGTTTTCCTTCATCTTCTTAAACCAGTCCCTTTAGCATGTCCTGTAGTGCTGGTTTGGTATATATGTATTCTTTTAGCCTTCTCTTGTCTGGGAAACTCCTTATTTCCCCTTCTATTTTAATTGAGAGCCTTGCTGGGTAGAGCAGCCTTGGCTGTAGGCCCTTGTTTTTCATGACTTGGAATATTTGTTGCCATTCCCTTCTGGCTTGTAGTGTTTCTGTTGAGAAGTCAGCTCTTAGGCCTATCGGGGCCCCCTTGTATGTTACTTTCTCCTTCTCCCTTGCTGCCTTGAGGATTCTCTCTTTGTCTTTGATAGTTGCCATTTTAATGATGATGTGTCTTGGAGTGGACCTCCTTGAGTCCCTCTTGAGTGGGGTCCTCTGTGCCTCCTGAATCCACGAGAGCCTTTCTCTCCTCAAATGAGGGAAATTTTCCATCATTACTTTTTCGAGGAGGTTCTCTATCCCTTGCTCCTCTTCTTCTCCTTCTGGTATCCCTATATGCGGATATTATTGCATTTCAGGTTGTCCTGCATTTCCCTAAATGCTTCTTCCTTCTTTTTTTGAATCTTTTTTCCATTTCTTGTTCTCTCTGGGAGCTTCTTTCTACCTTATCCTCCATCTCACTGATTCGATCCTAAGCTTCATCCAGCCTGCTTTGGATTCCTTCTACTGTGTTCTTCAATTCAGAAATGGTATTCTTCATATCCTCTTGTGTCTTCTTGATAGTTTCTATGTCCGTTTCCAGGTTGATATAGTTTGTTGTAAGATCCTGATAGTTTCTCTGCAGTTTCTCATAGTTATCTTTGAGCTGGCTGAGCTCACTGAGCTTCCTTAGAACCATTGTTTTGAATTCCATATCTGATAGTTCCCTTGCCTCTATTTCAATTAGCTCTCTCTGTGGGGATTCCCCTTTTCCACCTATTTGGGAAGAACTTCTTTTTCTTTCCATTTTTGTGAGAGTCTGTTAAGTAATTTAATTATTTGTTTGTTTGTTTGTTTATTTTTGCTTCTGCCTCAACTGGGTTGTCTAGATTTCCTGACTTTGTGGATTAAACTTCTAGGGTAGTAGGCAGGTCTTTTTACTTATTTATATATACATATATATACACATTTATTATTTATTTATTTATTCCTTTACTTTTCTTTCTGGGCCTGCCTCTGATGATGTCAGTTGTTGACTCTATATGATCTTGGGTCGTTTGTTTGAGCCTTCCAGGAGTCTACTGTCTGTGTCTGACTCCTGCTTTGGGCAGCTCTGTGACCCCTTCTGCCAGGGATCCACTATTTCTGTCCATCGCTCTGCACTCTCCTGCCGCTCCTTGATCGCGCTCCCCGGCCAGCCGGATCCCCCGGCGGCAGGATCCCCCGCCTGCATGGGCTTGTGTGTGCTTGCCCCAGCCCAGGAGCTTCTTTGCGACTCCGCGTACTCCTCTGGCCCCCCAGGCCAGCGGACACCCCAGCACTGGTCCATTAGGGTCTTTTATTGTGTGCTTTACCCGCTTTTGGCTCTTTGGATGCGTTGCTTGCCCTCACCAAATGGAGACTAGGGAAATGGGAGGAAGTCAGCTCCAGGACTCTCTGGTTAATCCTGTCTCCAGTCTCTCCTCCAGGGACTCTGGGCAGCTCTGTGACCCCTTCCCCGGGGATCCACTATTTCTGCAGACTGCTCTGCACTCGCGGGCCCGCGGGGGTCGATTTACACCTGCCCTCACTGGTCTGCACACTCCCTCGCAGGCCTCATTGGTGCCAACCTGTGGGAGGCCTTGCCAGCCCGCGCAAGCCCTTGACAACCCGCAGGGGTCCACACACACACAATCACGAACCCTGGCCGGCTACTCAGCGCAAGTGTGCGCACCTGCACTGGGTCTAAATTTTATTTCCAATTACAGTTTACATTCAATTTGTATTAATTTCAGGTGTACAACATAGTGATTAGATAATCATATACTTTACAAAGCGTGCCCCCTGATATTTCTAGTACCCACCTGACACCATACATAGCTATCACAATTTTACTGTTTTTTTCCCAAAGCAAACAACAGTGTTTATTGCTATGATAAAATGAAAGCTTCCAAGAATGATTTAGGATTCTTTTTGCCACCATGGGCTTGATAGCTGCCCAATATTTAAAATTTGTCTGAAAAGATCAATAATATTAACCAATGCTATCACAATATTATTCACATTATTCTCTACAGTGTACTTTACGCCCTGTGAGTATTTTGAGATAGTCACTTTTATGATTGATAAAGAAATAATACTTGTTTGTTGAGGAGTGAATAAGAAAAATACATAAAGAAAAGTACCTTAAAGCAGGTATTTTAAAAATTTTCACACAAAAAAGGAAGCAGATTTATCACAACAAAGACCAAGTAAAATGAAACATAATACAAGAAAATGGAAATCACAAATGAATGTTCATTAATATTTGTTCATGAACTTAATGTGTCTGTCATATTCTAATTCTATAAATAAAATCAAATTACACCAAAAGACACTTAATTAAACATAAAATTATAAGTTACTTACTGTATAAGAGCAGCTCTTTCAAAGTACTGAATGGCTTTTTCACAAAATTGGGTGTCAATGTAATAGGCTCCAAGCCACTCAATGACTTCAATATTAGAAGGGAAGTACCTGTATGACTAGAGAAAATACGTAACATGACAATACAATTTCAGTGGCAACAGATAATATACTTTCTGAGCATTTAACTTATTGAATGGGTTAATTTATCCAGTTTGAAATTTCTTAATAAGGATGTATGAGCTGTCATAGGCACTTTAAAAGATTTTTAAACTATACACCATTTAAAAAACAGACTAGTTTGACCCATTTTCTATGTACTGATAGTTAATCTGAATCAAATTATATGTGTAATAGAGTCAAAAAGACAAAAGTCATGCTTCAAGAGAAAAATGAACCTGTATTTCTTACTTCATTTTGTATTAAAATTAACCAAAAACTAACTTAATATTCCACAAATGTTCTTATTTTCAATCATTATTCATTTAAAAACTAATATGCACTTCTAAATTTTATAAACTAAAAGGCCCACTGCATTTTTTAATAAACAATTCACAAAAGCTAAAATGTAAAAGGAAAATTAAGAGTATTTGCCTACCTCATAGTAGTATTGAAATGCTTGGGACTTATCTCCTTCACTATCATGTAATTCTCCTAGTTTAGACAGAGCTCTAGAATCAGTTGGAACAACACTGATCAGCTGCATTAACCATTCAATAGCTTGATTGGGATCTTCCATTAATTCATATCTTGGACAATTTCAGTTAAGGATAACACATTTTTTCTGAATTCATTGATCTATAAGTAAACCTAAATATAACATTACAATAAAATATCCCTTAGTCAATAGTGATATGCTCTTTAATACTATTTACTCTAGATGCCCTTAGGGATGAGAATGAAAAATGGAGCAGCACTGTAAGGGACTCTTGTTCCATACATACACTTAGCTTTTCCTTGCCTCATTACCATCCACTAAGACCAACTCCCAAAGCATTGTTCAAAGTTTATCCCATGTTTGAATACAATATCCTACCTCTCGTAATATACTCAACATATTAAGGGAATAGTTTAATGTATTTTCCTGTGAATTTCTCTAATCATAAGTCCAAAATAGAGAGTTCTCTTTGGTAGCCTTTGTGCCTAGTGGGCACTCTGAATACTCTCAGATAGCTTGTTTACACATACACCAATCCAAACTTTTTGGAAAAAAAAGAGTCTTTTGTTTTAAATGATGAAAAATGTTATACTATAAGAAAAATATAAGAATAAGACAATGAATTCAAATAGCCTTAAATGTATCACTTACTTATCTGGTTAAAAAGTGACCATGAACTGGGCACTATCATATCATGATACTGGCAATACAAAATATAAATAAATTGACAAAACAAAGAGGCTAAAAGGAATAACTATGAAGCCAACTGCTCTAAACCTAAATTTTATTTTGGAGATCAAACCTTTGTCTGAGTGATCATTGGCATATATATTTTTCCCATACATTTGGTTAACTTTTGCATTTTGTTGATGTTTTCTTTAGCCATGCAGAAGCTTCTTATTTTGATGAACTCCCATGTTTATTCTTTCCTTTATGTCCCTTGCTCTAGGGGACATGTTGGTGAAAATATTGCTGCAAGGAGTATCTGAGATTTTCATGCCTATGTTCTCCTCTAGGACTTTTATGGTGTCACGACTTATATTTGTGTTTTATCAATCTTGAGCTTATTTTTGTGTATGGTGGAAGTTGGTGGTCCAATTTCATTTTTTTGCATGTAGTTCTCCAGATCTCCCAAAACTATTTGATGAAGAGGCTATTTTTACTCCATTTTGCTTCTGCCTCCTTTGCTGAATATTAATTGACCATGGAGATATGAGTTCATTTCTGGGCTCTGTTCTTTTTTTTTTTTAAACTTATAAATCATGTTTATTGTATTACAGTTGTCCCAATTTTTCCCTCTTTACCCCCCTACCCTTCCCACCTCCATCCCTCACTCCCACAATCAATTCCCACTCTGTAGTCCATGTCCATGGGTCATTCATACATGTTCTTTGTCTAGTCCCTTCCCCTTCATTCCACCATTGTCCTCTTTCCCCATCCCCTCTGGTCACTTTCAGTCTGCTTCATGTTTCCGTGCCCATGGTTCATTTTGTTCGTTACTTTATTTTGTTGAATAGATTCCACTTAGAGGTGAGATCATATGGTATTTGTCTTTCATCAACTGGCAATTTCACTTAGCTTACTATTCTCCACTTCCATCCATGTTGCTGCAAAAGGTAGGAGTTCCATCTCTCTCTCTCTCTCTTTCTTTCTTAAATGCAGACTGATTTTATTTATATATTTTTAAAGTCTAAGTTAATTATAAAATTTAAAAAACTTTAAAGCCATTATAAAGTCTCATTAAACCAACATGGCATCAGTATGGGAATAATCAGGTAGATCAATGAAATATAATGAGCATTCCAGAGACAAATGTATATATCTGTCTAACAATATCATATATGATTAAGTTGATATTTCAGATCAATGGGGAAAATAAGGTTTATTCAACAAGTAAGGTGCATGGACCACTATTACTTGAAATAAAACAAATATAGAGCCCTATTTCACACATTATATAAGAAATATTCAGGTGAGTTAAAAATCAATATGTAGATTCTAAGGAGTTTTAGAAGAAAAAAGAACTATTATTTTTCATGACCTGAAGTAAAATATTCAAACCCAGAAGTTATAAATATTGATAATATGACTATATTAAACATTTAACTATATAGTAATACACATATAAAAAAAGTTGAAGGACAAGGAATAGGATAGAAAAGTATTTGCAACACATCTAAAACATGGTTAATAGGGTTTTTTTCCCTTGTTTTTTTTTTTTTTCTTTTTTTTTTTAGGGAAAACAGTTCTACAAAACTTTAATCAATAAATGGATAAAGAATACCAAAAAGTCATTTAAAGCTTTTTTTTAAAAAAAAAAATAGAAATAGGCAAGAAATATACTCAAACAGATTTAGTTTCAACAAATAGTGAAGGAACAATTAAAATAACAACATCATCACAATCAGATTAATGAGTATTAAAAATATTGGTAATATCACAAGTATTGGCAACTCTGAAAGGAACTGGGTATTCATAGAAACTTTTTCTTCACCTTAAAGCAGTCCCTTTAGCATATTTTGCAGTGCTGGTTTGGTGGAGGTATATTCTTTTAGCCTTCTTTAGTCTGGGAAACTCCTCATTTTGCCTTCCATTTTAATTGAGAGCCTTGCTGGGTAGAGCAGTCTTGGTTGCAGACCTTTGCTTTTCATGACTTGGAATATTTCTTGCCACTCCCTTCTGGCTTGCGGGGTTTCTGTTGAGAAGTCAGCTGCTAGCTGCATTGGGGCTCCGTTATGTTACTACCTCTTTCTTCCTCGCTTGCTTTAGGATTCTCCATTTGTCTTTGATATTTGCCATTTTAATGATGATGTGTCTTGGAGTGAGCCTCATTGGGTTCCCCTTGAATGGGACCCTCTGTGCTTCCTGAACTTGGGTGACTTTTTCTCTCCTCTGGTTAGGGAAGTTTTCCATCGTGACTTTTTCAAACAGGTTCTCTATCCCTTCCTCCTCCTCTTCTTCTGGTATCCCTATTATATGGATATTATTACGTTTCAGGTTGTCCTGCATTTCCCTCAATGCCTTTGCATTCTTTTTGAGTCTTTTTTTTTCATTTTCTTGCTCTTTCTGGGAGCTTTTTTCTACCTTGTCCTCCAGCTCGCTGATTTCATCCTCAGCTTCCTCTAGCCTGCTTTTGATTCCTTCTACTGTGTTCTTCAATTCAGAAATTGTATTCTTCATTTCCTCTTGTCTCTTATTGATAGTTCCTATGTCCTTTTTAATGCTCATATAGTTTGCAGTAAGTTCCTCGTAGTTTCCCTGTAGTTTTTGGTAATTCTCTCTGAGCTCACTGAGCTCATTGAACTTCCTTAGAAACGTTGTTTGGAACTCAGTATCTGATAGTTTACTGGCCTCTATTTCATTTAGTTCTCTTTCTGGGGCTTGCTCCTTTCCCTTCGAGTGGGGCGTATTTCTGTCTTCCCATTATTTGTGAGACTCTTCTCTTTGCTTCTGATTCTTAAGTTATCTGTCTTGATCTCCTGACTTTGTGGTGTGAACTTCTATGGTTGGAGACCGCTGTTTTTACTTTCTGGATCTGCCTCTGATGATGTCAGATGTTGACCCTGCCTGACCTTAGGCAGTCTGTTTGAGACTTCCAGTAATCTACTGTTTGTGGCTGTCTCCTTCCGCTGTTAATCTATTCACTCTGCACTCAGCAGGCCACCTTAGACAGCTCAGGGTGGGGCGGAGTCCCTCTTGGGGACAGGGTTATTGGGTCCTTTCACGCTGCTGCCTTATGGGGGAGTAGTCTGCACGGGGATCCTGTTGGCTACTCTCTCTGTTCTCTCCCCACAGCCTCCATCCCCAGTCTCTCCTCAAGTGTCGCCAGACCTCTCTGTGCCTTCTTTAGCCAGGGATCTACTGTCTGTGGCTGCCACTCTGCACTCAGCAGACAGCTTAGACAGCACAGGGCAGGGTGGAATCCCACCTGGGGGCGGACCTTTGGGTCCTTTGACGCTGGTGCCACTCAGGGTCACGGTCTCTGCCTGAGCAAGATGGCTGCTGCCACATGGGGGATGGGTCAGCACTGCGATCCCGCCAGCTCCTCTCTCAGTTCTCTCCCCAAAGCCTCCTTCCCCAGTCTCTCCTCAGGCATCTCTAGCCCACTCTGCCTCCGCTTTTGCCGGAGACCAGGGTAAGTGGCTGCAAATAAAAATTTATGCGTTGGCCCTTTAAACAGTTCTTTGCATCTCCAGCGGCCTGTCTCTGGCAGAGAGCAACCCTGCCACTTTGTGCAGCTGGCTGTGTTCTGTGTACTTTTTGGGCTCTGGTGCTGTGGGCTAGAGATCCCCGCTTTCGGTTTAGACCCCGCTCTTCTCAGGGGGATCCAACTGGCCATTTCAGTCTCCTTCTGGTGCTGCTGCCCCTGGGTGCCCCGCCCGTTTTCTCAGGTCTGTACTGCACTCCTTAGCAGTTAGATTGTGCTAAAGCCGATTCTTCTGTCTCTGAGGTTACAAGGTTCCTCTGCCGCTATTGTTCAGTTGTTTGTTCCAGGCAATTTCTCCACAGTTTAGTTGTAATTTCAGGTTGGTCCTGGAAGGATCAGTGAGACTCCACTCACTCCTCCGCCATCTTGATTCCTCCTTGGCTCTCCATTCTGTTCAATTGATCTATGTGTTTGTTCTTATGCCAGCACCAGACTGTTTTGATTACTGTGGCTTTGTCATACAGTTTGATGTCAGGTATTGTGATCCTTCCTACTTTGTTTTTCTTTCTCAAAATTGATGAGGCTATTCAGGGTCGTTTATAGTTCCATGTACATTTCTGAAATGTTTGTTTATGTCTGCATAATACATCATGGTATTTTTTAATTTTTTTTATCTATCAACAATTTATTTTTTTTATGTCTTTTTTTTAAATTTATTTTTTCAAATACATTTGTCTCTGCCTACCCCCAACCACTTTCCCTTGCCCCTTCCCTCCTTCCCTCCCTCAACTCTTCCCCTTTGGTTTTGTCCATGAGTCCTTGCTATATGTTCCTTGACTTTCCACTTCCCTTCCTTTCCCTCCGCCCTCCCTCCTTCCCTCTTGTCTTTGTTGGTTTATTTTCCTTTCAGTGTTGCTGGTCTTATTTTACTTGCATCTTTGTATTGTTGGTTAGGTTCCACTTATAGGTGAGATCATATGGTATTTGTCTTTCGCCCCCTGGCTTATTTCGCTTAGCATAATGTTCTCCAGTTCCATCCATGCTGTCTCAAAGTTTAGTAGTTCTTTTTTTCTTTCTGCTGTGTAGTATTCCATTGTGTATCATAATTTTTTCATCCAATCATCATGGTATTTTAATAGGGATTGCATTGAATCTATAAATTGCTTTGGGTAGTATGGACATTTTGATGGTGTTAATTCTTCCAGTCCATAAACATGGTATATGCTTCCATTCATTTGTGTCTTCCTTAATTTCTTTCTTCCGTTTTGTGTAGTTTTCTGAGTATAGGTCTTTTACCTCCTTGCTTAAGTTTATTCCTAGGTACTTTATTTTTCTTGTTGCCATAGTAAATGGGATATTTTTTCCTGATCTCTGATTCTGATATTTTATTGTTGGTGTACAAAAATGCCTTCGATATCTGAATATTGACTTTGTATCTTGCTGTTTTTCCAAATTCACTTATTAGATGGAGTAGTTTTTTGGTGGAGTCTATAGGGTTTTCTAGGTACGGTATCATGTGATCTGCAAACAGTGACATTTTTACTTCTTCCTTTCCAATTTAGATGCCCTTTATTTCTTTTTCTTGTCTGATGACTGTGGCTAGAATTTCCAGTATTATGTTGAATCAAAATGGTGAAAGCACACACTCTTGTCTTGTTCCTGATCTTATGGGAAAAGCTTTTAGTTTTTGCTCATTGAGTATGATGTTGGTTGTAGGTTTCTTGTATATAGTCTTTATTATGTTGTGGCATACTCCCTCTACTCCCACGTTCCTGAGTGTTATTATCATAAATGGTGCTGTACTTTAACAAATGTGTTTTCAGCATCTATTGGTATGGTCATGTGATTTTTGTCTTACCTTTTGTTTATGTTATATATTACATTAATACACTTGCAAATATTGTACCATCCTTGCATCCCTGAGATGAATCCCACTTGATTATGGTGTATGATCTTGTTAATGTATTGGTGGATCCAGTTTGCCAATATCTTTCCAGAATAAATTTCCAGAGAATTGTGGATTTAAACAAAAGAAAAATAATCCCTAAAGGTACATACTCTATATTTTCACTTATATAGCATTTTGTGATGAGGAAGTTATAGGAGTGAAAAGATTAGTAGTTACCAGTGGTGATGCACAGGGTGAGCAGAGGCAAACGAGTGTGATTCCAAAAGGACAACATGAAGGACCTCATGCTCAAAAAAATGTTCTGCATCTTGGCTATACTAACAAAATTTATCTTAAGCATTTAAAAATATACTATTAACATCTGTTTGTTGAGGATTTTAGTATCTATGTTCATCAGTGATATTAGCCTGTAGTTTTCTTTCTTTGTTTTATTTTAACCTGGTTTTGAAATTAGGATAATACTGGCCTCATAAAAAGAGTTTTGGAGGCTTCCCTCTTCTTTAACCGGATAAGGGTTTGATCTCCAAAATATATAAAGGACTCACATGACTCCACACCAGAAAGAGTAACAATCTAACTATAATATGGGCAAAGGACCTGAACAGACACTTCTCCAAGGAGGACATACAAAGGGTCCATAGACATATGAAAGGGTGCTCAGCATCACTAGCCATTGGAGAAATGCAAATTAAAACCACAATGAGATACCACTTCACACCAGTCAGAATGGCCATCATAAACAAATCTACAAACAACAAGTGCTGACAAGGTTGTGGAGAAAAGGGAACCCCAGTATACTGTTGGGGGGAATGCAGACTGGTGCAGCCACTGTGGAAAACAGTTTGGAATGTCCTCAAAAAGCTAAAAATGGAACTGCCTTTAGACTTGGCAGTTCCACTGCTGGGATTATACTCTATGAACCCTGAAATACCAATTCAAGAGAACCTATGCAACACAATGTTCATAGCAGCACAATTTACAATAGCCAAGTTCTAGAAGCTACTTAAGTGCCCATCAGTAAATGAGTGGATCAAAAAACTGTAGTACATTTACACAATGGAATACTACGCAGCAGAAAGAATGAAGGAACTCCTATCCCTCGTGATAGCATGGACGGAACTGGAAAGTATTATACTAAGTAAAATAAGCCAGGTGGTGAAAACCAAATACCATATGATCTCACATATAAGTGAGACCTAATAAACAAAACAGATAACTGAGTAAAATAGAACCAGAGACATGGAAATAAGGAACAAACTGACAGTAACCGGGGGGGAAGGGAGAGAGGGATAACAGGGCAAAAGAAGGGAAAGGGTCTAGTCAAGGAACATGTATAAAGAACCCATGGTAATGGATTAAAGTTTGGAGACTGACTGAGGGAGTGGGTTGGGGGTGAGGGAGGCAGAGGAAAGCAACGGGGGAAAAATTGGGACAAGTGTAATTGAACAGCAATAAAAAAAATTTTTATTGCTAAATTTTTTAAATAAATTTTTAAGTCTAGTCTACCAAAGGTATACAAGATAGTACTCAAAATTATTAATGATTTAATATTAATATTTTAAATAAGTTTTTAAATCTAGTCTACCAAAGGTATACAAGATAGTACTCAAAATTATTAATGGTATACCTCATAATATACTTTTTTCTAAACATATTTGTATAAAATTTATATCAAGATAAAAACTTTTTAAATAAGTTTTTAAATCTAGTCTACCAAAGGTATACAAGATAGTACTCAAAATTATTAATGGTATACCTCATAATATACTTTTTTCTAAACATATTTGTATAAAATTTATATCAAGATAACAACTTTAAAACCACTTAAAATTTTAATCCTAATGTTTTCAAGGCTTATTATTTTAAAAATATGGTGAGTAATGAAAATGTTTTTCACATAGTGTCAAAAACATTAAAAAATAATGGATTTCTGCTCTTCCTACCAAAGGAAGGGGGAAAAACAACTATAGAAAAGCTGAGTTGCCGAAGGAACAGAGAGGAGAACAATGTTTTATATTTCAGCAGTCCTGCAAGTCCGAAACAAAATATGGCACATATAGTCCAGTCAATGAGTAACTACTGAGTGAACAGAATGAATACGTTCACATAAACTATTCTGCAACTCTGGAGGGCACAGAGTTTTATATTCACTAAATCTATGTGTCAGTTGAAATAAATAAGACAAATTATCCAAATTCAATCAGTAGTGCTAATCAGTAATGAACTATATTTTCATTTTAATTAGTAAGTTACTGCTTGAAAAATACCCTACAAAACTCAGTTATACATTCTAAACTACCTAATTTACAATCAGTGAATAGCTTATGAATATTCAACACATCAAACTCAATTATTTCAATGATTATTTCCAAAAATTAATAATAGTTTTAACCTTTAAATAATTCCTCTTACAATGCAAACGATCTTTTAAAACAGGTCACTCAAATAATATTTTCATCACGTATTAATCTATTAGGTTTTAAAATATTACCCTCATCAATTATTTCATTGGTTAAGCTTACTTAATCACCAATTGAATGAATTAGTAATGAATGATTTCTAAGTTTTTCCACATAAGATACATATTGGCTATCTGGTACAGAACTTGGGCACTGTTTCTCAGGATTGCATGAAGTTTCAGGAAACAGTCCAAAGCCTCGTCAAGCCGGTTTAGCTTCTTATAGGTAAGGCCTTAAAAAGAAGGGAAGAAAAAAAGAAAAAAGCGTAAGGAATTTTCTCAAAATAACAGAATGAACACTTAAATACAAGTAAATATTCATCCATAAGAGGAAATAAAGATGAACAGAATTTTTAAAAAAATAACAAGTTTGGGGCTGGGATGTTCCACTAATATTTGGCAGATGCCAAAATATGCTATAAATATAAAGCTTTAGTGATTGTAAAATGTGGTAGAGAAGAGGAATAGGCTAAAAGATTAACAGAATAGAATAAACAATTCAGAAACTGACTCAGTTACAGAGTTGATTTAATGGGCATTTCAAATTAATGAGGACTAAGGGACTAGTCATAAATGGTGCAGGACAACTGACTATTCCCAGTTTGAATTTATTCCTATTTTGAATAATTTGAAAATTTGTTTTAAAACTAAACAGAAAGAACAAAGCTATGAAAAATAAAACTGAAAAAATATAGGGAAATCTTGGGGAAAGAGAAGGGCTTTGTAAAGCAATAAACAAGTGAAGCCACAAATTTTCAATAAGAAAAATTTGTATGAAAAATAGAAAACTTCTGTTTGACAAAAGAAATTATAAAGTTAAGCAATGGACTAGGACAAGTACTTAAAATGTATAAGAGGATAAATACATACCTAGGCATGCCACCTCCTGCATGGAGACCTTTGCTCTCCACTTCCCTGTCTGTAATGCTCTTTCCCTAGATGCCCTTCTTTCCAGTATGACTGTAATGGTCACCTCAGGGAGTCTCTCCTTAACTCCATGTATAACTGCAAATTCCTATGCCTCCTCTCCTCTCATCCCAGCTCTCCTGGGAAGAGAAATCCACATGCCTCAAGGGGCAGTCCCCACCTGGACAGCTCAGACAGATGGCCCTGTGGCAGGTGTCAGGCAGTCTGCCTTCTTCATACCTTGGAGCCCCTGCCCTCGGCTTCGGCTGCACACTTTTGAGTATGAGGACACAGCCAGGATACTCTAACATCAGAGGAAAGGTCATGACATGAAAGATAAAACACACACACAAGCCAAAATGCAGGGAGAAGAAAGCTGGAAAGCAAACTTCATAGATAACCCGAGATGAGACAGAGTATTGGATTGAGCTTTCTCTGAACGGCAACACTGCAAACTCGTGAACAGGGGAATATGTACTCATTTCAGGAGACCTCAGACAGGCAGTGAAGGGAATGAGGGGGTGAGCCTTCAGGTCCTATGACATTTTGTTTATTAAAAACAATTTGAAGTAAATATGGCAAAATGTTAAAGTGTATTATTGTTAAAGATAAGTAGTAGGTATATGGGCATTCTTTTTTGTATACTTTTACATGTTTGAAATTGTTCATAATCAAAAACAAAATGAGATTTTTTCCTACCTATCAGTTTGGCAAAAGTTGAATTATAATATGTAATATTAGCAGAACTTGGTGTATGAGAACTCAGTCTCATACATCATGGTGGAAATAGAAATTAGAAGTGTTTTAGAGGGCAATATGGCAACATCTATGCAAATTTTGTAAGTGCACAGCTTCTGAATCATTAATTCCATGGAAAATAACCTATAACCCAAGAGTCTTCTTTTCAACTCTTTTTTATAAGGAAGTCAACCCTTTGTTCTAATGAATTAGAGCTCACTAAGTGAGGGAGGTGAGAGGGGGAGGGGGCAGAGAGGGACTGGGACAGAGAAAGAAGGAAAAATAATTACAAAGCAAAAAAGCAAAACAAACCAAAACAAAACAAAACAACCAAAACCAAACAACTTTGCCTGTCTTACTTACCAATATTATAAAGTGCTTCGGTACAAGAAGAATCATTTCTTAGAGCCTCTTTATAGAATTCAGCTGCCTTCTCATAATCACCATTCACAAACACTGTATTGCCTTTGTTAGTAAGAGCACATGGATTATATCTATCAGAACTCACAGCCAAATCTGCATAGATGCTGGCTTGTGCAAATTCATTTTCCTAAAGTACAAAACATACAAATTTTTGAAGGTCATCAAATATTTTTTTCTGACTGAGATTACAGACATGAAAAACAGAAATAAATATTTTACATATCTTGGTCTTAATAGGCTTATTCTACAAAAGATTTGTAGAATCTTGATGAGAAGAAAGTTCTCATCAAGAACTTCCAACTACTCAAGGGTCTTATGAATGAAGTTCCCCCAGTCTCATGGTTTGAATAACATTGCTATTTATATATAGGTGGTTCCATTTCAAATGCCCAAATTTCATGTCATTATTTATTGCATACTCTGCTTCCCAAACCTCAAGCCCTGAAGTGGCTGTGAAGGCATCCCTGTCTGTTTGCCCCAACAAACTGAGTGTATCATCTACTAGGTCTTGTGTTTCTAGCACTTGATTGTCTTCACTCCATCTTGCTGCCAAGTGCTCCATTAGGACCCTGACATCATGCATGTGAGTCATTTGGACCTCTCAGTTCTTAGGTGGCATGGCCATTGGTGCCATGTTGGTTTGTCTAAGCCAGGGGCCATAGTTCCCAGAGCCCCTTTCCCTCCATGGCACTTGTCCGGAGTTGGCTGAAAAGAACTTCTAGGATATGAAGCAGCAGCATTCCTCTCTACAGGACTTTTTCTTGTCATCAGATGCAGGCCTGATGCAGAAATGCTGGGGGTCCAGCCTCTCTTCACTCACTTCCACTCCACACCTGATTCTTCCTCCTGACTGTGCTGTCCTTACTGACCACAGCGACCCAGATCCATGCTGGGGCTTTGTAGTGAACACAGATGAGGCAGCTGCTCCATGAAGTGCCCCTTCAGGTGGCTTCTGGATGTGCTTGGCCACCCACTCACTGACTGGTGACTACTGCTCAGATCCCTGAATACCCCTTTTTCACCTTCACCCCCACAGCTCCTCCACCACTGTGGATGTTCTAATTCCTGTATCCCTTCCCTAGTAACACTCCCAGCGACTGCTTTAAAAATGTACAGTTCAGTGGCATTTAATGTATTTCATGCCTTCAGTTCCTCTTGATGACAAAAGATCCTCAAAGAAAGAAATAGCTGCGGGGCAGAGATCAAATCAAGGGTGTGGCTACATTACCTTTGGAAACATCTCAGATTTAAGATACTGCCTTGCAGAGCCAACCATCTCTCTCAGGCAATATCTTTAGGGCCATGTTCCACAGCAGCCTCCTATATCTACATGGAAAAGGCTCTGCCTTTAAAAGAATTATGGATGTGGCTTTGGGGGCATACAAAATACCCCAAAGAGATTTATAGAAAATTTGCCAAGTTTTTAAGGGAGTTGTACTAACAAAAGTGTTGCCAGCTTGGATAAAAAAGATGGCCACAGCCCAAAATGAAAAAAGGCCTCAGGGCCCCCAATTTTTGTGGGCAAAAAGTATGCTAAGAAAGGTAGGTAATCAGCTGCCAGTAATTTTTTTTTTCCTGTTAAAGGAAAGTGCTCTCATAGGGCAGAGCCAAGAGCCAGAGAAACCAAAGGATTGAGGATCACCCACCAGGGACCAGAGCTGGTTCCTCATCAAGGAACACTCCCCTTTGCCCACGTTTGAGGTCACTGACCACAAGTGTTTAGCTGGGTTTCAGAACTGCTAAGGACCAGTGCCTCCATCCTACCCCTTTTGAATGGGAATGTCTATAACAGTTTTCCTATCCTTATCTCACCATGGAATATTAAGAGTATGGAGCAGATAACATGGTTTTTGTTCCCAGACCGTTAGATCAAGAGGACTTGTGCCTGAGAAAGTCCCATCTCTATCTAGACCTTACACAAAGGTTGGCTTTTGATCCTGGTGATGAGACTATGATAGTGTTGGAAGAAGTATGTGCATTCTGCATATGGAAAGGATGTAAATAACTGAGGCTTCAATGCACGCAGTGATACACTCACACTATCAAAACAATAGCCCCAATGGATCACACCACCCAGTCTTCATGCACTTGTATGTTTCTCTCCTATGTTTGTTTTGCCCACTAAGATAACAAGGTCAATGCACACAGGAGCCTGGTAAATACCTGTGCACTGGGGTCTCCTTGCATGGACCCTGTTCCATGTAGGAAGTCTAGGCTCTCCTGCTAGAGAAGCACCGTGACTGAGGACTGAGATTGTTGTCCAACATTGGACTTAGGACTCAACACATGATTTTGAGGGGACACAATTCCATTCATAGCATTATGAAACCCATTCTATTATGAAACCTTATTATTCACAAAGACAATTATCAAATTTTATCTCTGTCTGAGATCAGTTCCACGTGCCTCTTGGATATCTGAATTATATCACCAACACTACAAAAATATAAAAAATATATTTAAGAACAATCTCAGCATCTTTCTCCCTAATTCACACACTCCTCTGGACATGTCTCTGGCACCACTCTCCAGTCAGCAGAATAAAACACTGGGGTCCTTCCTTACCAGGCATTTTATCTCTTTTTCATCTTTTCATGAGGGATGTAACACCTTCCTGCTGTAACAGTGGTTCCACACAGCAGTAATTCTCAATGAGCATATGAAAAGCTCTAAGGGGGACTGAAAGTGTAGCAGAACCAAATACAATGATCCTATGTACCTTTTCCCTCCCAGCTTTCTTGCCTCTGTGCTTTGTTTATTCACTTAGTTTCCCCACAAATTTCCCTTCTCTTTTAGCTATATATTTTTTCTTTTTATTGTTATTCTATTAGAGTTGTCCCAATTTTTCCCCCTTTGACCTTCTCTGCCCATCCCACCCCCGCTTCCACAGTGAATTCCCACATTGTTGTCCATGTCCATGGGTCATTGATACATGTTCTTTGTCTAGTCCCTTCCCCTTCTTTCCACTATTATTCCCCTCCCCTCCTCCTCTGGTCACTTTCAGTCTGTTCCATGTTTCCATGCCTGTAGTTCTATTTTGTTCATTAGTTTATTTTGTTCATTAGATTCCTCTTGTAGGTGAGATCATATGGTATTTTTCTTTCACCACCTGGCTTATTTCACTTAGCATAATATTCTCCAGTTCCACCCATGCTGTATCAAAACATAGGAGTTTCTTCTTTCTTCCTGCTGTGTATTATTCCATTGTAGAAATGTAGCACAGTTTTTTGATCCACTCAAAAAACTGGACACTTTTTTTTATGGGCACATAGGCTGTTTCCAGCACTTGGCTATAGAAAATAGCACTGTTACAAACATAGGGATAATTCAGGAGTCTTACAGTATATTCCCAGCAGTGGAATTGTTAGGTCAAAAGGCAGTTCCATTTTTAGTTTTTTGAGGAAATTCCAAACTGTTTTCCACAGTGGCTGCACCAGTCTGCACTCCCACCAACAGTGCACTAGGGTTCCCTTTTCTACACATCCCTGCCATCACTTGTTGTTTGTTGATTTATTAATGATGGTCATTCTGACCGGTGTGAAGTGATATCTCATTGGTGGTTTTAATTTGCATCTCTCTGACGGCTAGTGATATTGAGCATCTTTTCATATATCTATGTGCCCTCTGTATGTCCTCCTTGAGAAGTGTCTTATTCAGGTCCTTTGCCCATTTTTTATTGGATTGTTTGTCTTCCTGGTGTTCGGTCATATTAGTTCTTTATATAATTTGGAGATTAAACCCTTGTCTGAAGTATCATTGGCAAATATGTTCTCCCATATGGTCAGTTCTTTTTTCATTTTGGTGATGGTTTCTTTAGCCATGAAAAGGCTTTTTAACTTGATGGAGTCCCATTTGTTTATTTTTTTCCTTTATTTTCCTCACTCTAGGGGATATATTAGCAAAAATATTGCTATGTGGGATGTCTGAAATTTTCCTATGTCTCCTCTAGGACTTTTATGTTGTCATGATTTATATTTAAGTCTCATATCCATTTTTTAAAAACATTCTATTTATTTATTTATTTATTTAAATTTATACATCATGCTTATTCTATTACAGTTGTCTCAATTTTTACCTGTTTACCACCACTCCACTCATCCCACCCCCACTTCCACAGTCAATTCCCACTCTGTAGTCCATGTCCATGGGTCATTCATACATGTTCTTTGTCTAGTCCCTTCCCCTTCATTCCACCATTGTCCTCTTTCCCCATCCCCTCTGGTCACTTTCAGTCTGCTTCATGTTTCCGTGCCCATGGTTCATTTTGTTCGTTACTTTATTTTGTTGAATAGATTCCACTTAGAGGTGAGATCATATGGTATTTGTCTTTCATCAACTGGCAATTTCACTTAGCTTACTATTCTCCACTTCCATCCATGTTGCTGCAAAAGGTAGGAGTTCCATCTCTCTCTCTCTCTCTTTCTTTCTTAAATGCAGACTGATTTTATTTATATATTTTTAAAGTCTAAGTTAATTATAAAATTTAAAAAACTTTAAAGCCATTATAAAGTCTCATTAAACCAACATGGCATCAGTATGGGAATAATCAGGTAGATCAATGAAATATAATGAGCATTCCAGAGACAAATGTATATATCTGTCTAACAATATCATATATGATTAAGTTGATATTTCAGATCAATGGGGAAAATAAGGTTTATTCAACAAGTAAGGTGCATGGACCACTATTACTTGAAATAAAACAAATATAGAGCCCTATTTCACACATTATATAAGAAATATTCAGGTGAGTTAAAAATCAATATGTAGATTCTAAGGAGTTTTAGAAGAAAAAAGAACTATTATTTTTCATGACCTGAAGTAAAATATTCAAACCCAGAAGTTATAAATATTGATAATATGACTATATTAAACATTTAACTATATAGTAATACACATATAAAAAAAGTTGAAGGACAAGGAATAGGATAGAAAAGTATTTGCAACACATCTAAAACATGGTTAATAGGGTTTTTTTCCCTTGTTTTTTTTTTTTTTTCTTTTTTTTTTTTAGGGAAAACAGTTCTACAAAACTTTAATCAATAAATGGATAAAGAATACCAAAAAGTCATTTAAAGCTTTTTTTAAAAAAAAAAATAGAAATAGGCAAGAAATATACTCAAACAGATTTAGTTTCAACAAATAGTGAAGGAACAATTAAAATAACAACATCATCACAATCAGATTAATGAGTATTAAAAATATTGGTAATATCACAAGTATTGGCAACTCTGAAAGGAACTGGGTATTCATAGAAACTTTTTCTTCACCTTAAAGCAGTCCCTTTAGCATATTTTGCAGTGCTGGTTTGGTGGAGGTATATTCTTTTAGCCTTCTTTAGTCTGGGAAACTCCTCATTTTGCCTTCCATTTTAATTGAGAGCCTTGCTGGGTAGAGCAGTCTTGGTTGCAGACCTTTGCTTTTCATGACTTGGAATATTTCTTGCCACTCCCTTCTGGCTTGCGGGGTTTCTGTTGAGAAGTCAGCTGCTAGCTGCATTGGGGCTCCGTTATGTTACTACCTCTTTCTTCCTCGCTTGCTTTAGGATTCTCCATTTGTCTTTGATATTTGCCATTTTAATGATGATGTGTCTTGGAGTGAGCCTCATTGGGTTCCCCTTGAATGGGACCCTCTGTGCTTCCTGAACTTGGGTGACTTTTTCTCTCCTCTGGTTAGGGAAGTTTTCCATCGTGACTTTTTCAAACAGGTTCTCTATCCCTTCCTCCTCCTCTTCTTCTGGTATCCCTATTATATGGATATTATTACGTTTCAGGTTGTCCTGCATTTCCCTCAATGCCTTTGCATTCTTTTTGAGTCTTTTTTTTTCATTTTCTTGCTCTTTCTGGGAGCTTTTTTCTACCTTGTCCTCCAGCTCGCTGATTTCATCCTCAGCTTCCTCTAGCCTGCTTTTGATTCCTTCTACTGTGTTCTTCAATTCAGAAATTGTATTCTTCATTTCCTCTTGTCTCTTATTGATAGTTCCTATGTCCTTTTTAATGCTCATATAGTTTGCAGTAAGTTCCTCGTAGTTTCCCTGTAGTTTTTGGTAATTCTCTCTGAGCTCACTGAGCTCATTGAACTTCCTTAGAAACGTTGTTTGGAACTCAGTATCTGATAGTTTACTGGCCTCTATTTCATTTAGTTCTCTTTCTGGGGCTTGCTCCTTTCCCTTCGAGTGGGGCGTATTTCTGTCTTCCCATTATTTGTGAGACTCTTCTCTTTGCTTCTGATTCTTAAGTTATCTGTCTTGATCTCCTGACTTTGTGGTGTGAACTTCTATGGTTGGAGACCGCTGTTTTTACTTTCTGGATCTGCCTCTGATGATGTCAGATGTTGACCCTGCCTGACCTTAGGCAGTCTGTTTGAGACTTCCAGTAATCTACTGTTTGTGGCTGTCTCCTTCTGCTGTTAATCTATTCACTCTGCACTCAGCAGGCCGCCTTAGACAGCTCAGGGTGGGGCGGAGTCCCTCTTGGGGACAGGGTTATTGGGTCCTTTCACGCTGCTGCCTTATGGGGGAGTAGTCTGCACGGGGATCCTGTTGGCTACTCTCTCTGTTCTCTCCCCACAGCCTCCATCCCCAGTCTCTCCTCAAGTGTCACCAGACCTCTCTGTGCCTTCTTTAGCCAGGGATCTACTGTCTGTGGCTGCCACTCTGCACTCAGCAGACAGCTTAGACAGCACAGGGCAGGGTGGAATCCCACCTGGGGGCGGACCTTTGGGTCCTTTGACGCTGGTGCCACTCAGGGTCACGGTCTCTGCCTGAGCAAGATGGCTGCTGCCACATGGGGGATGGGTCAGCACTGCGATCCCGCCAGCTCCTCTCTCAGTTCTCTCCCCAAAGCCTCCTTCCCCAGTCTCTCCTCAGGCATCCCTAGCCCACTCTGCCTCCGCTTTTGCCGGAGACCAGGGTAAGTGGCTGCAAATAAAAATTTATGCGTTGGCCCTTTAAACAGTTCTTTGCATCTCCAGCGGCCTGTCTCTGGCAGAGAGCAACCCTGCCACTTTGTGCAGCTGGCTGTGTTCTGTGTACTTTTTGGGCTCTGGTGCTGTGGGCTAGAGATCCCCGCTTTCGGTTTAGACCCCGCTCTTCTCAGGGGGATCCAACTGGCCATTTCAGTCTCCTTCTGGTGCTGCTGCCCCTGGGTGCCCCGCCCGTTTTCTCAGGTCTGTACTGCACTCCTTAGCAGTTAGATTGCGCTAAAGCCGATTCTTCTGTCTCTGAGGTTACAAGGTTCCTCTGCCGCTATTGTTCAGTTGTTTGTTCCAGGCGATTTCTCCACAGTTTAGTTGTAATTCCAGGTTGTCCTGGGAGAAGGTCAGTGTGACTCCGCTCACTCCTTCACCATGTTGATTCTCCTGTTTTATCTATTTTGAGTTTATCCTAGTGTATGGTGTATGTTGGTGGTTTAGTTTCATTTTTTCGTATGTACCAGTCCAGTTCTCCCAACGTCATTTACTGAAGAGGCTATTTTTACTCCATTGTATGTTCATGTCCTCTTTGTCAAATATTAATTGACCATAGAGACATGGGTTTATATTTGAGTTATCTATTCTCTTCCATTGATCTATGTGTCTGTTCTTATGACAGTACCAGACTGTTTTGATTACCGTGGCCTTAGTGTAGTTTGATATTGGGTATTGTGATCCTTCCTACTTTATTGTTCTTTCTAAAAATTGCTGAGGTTATTTAGGGTCTTTTTTGGCTCATACAAATTTTTGAAATATTTATTGTAGATCTGTGAAATATGCCTTTGGTATTTTAATAGGAATTGTGTTAAATCTATAGGTTGCTTTGGGTAGTATGGACATTTTAATGGTGTTAATTCTTCCAATCCATGAATCAGTTTGGTTTCCATTTATTAGTATATTCCTTAATTTCTTTCTTCAGTGTTGTGTAGTTTTCAGAGTACAGGTCTTTAACCTCTTTGGTTAAGTTTGTTTCTAGGTACTTTATTTTTCTTGTTGCTATAGCAAATGGGATTTTTTTCCTGATTTCTGATTCTGATATTTCATTCTTGGAGTACAAAAATGCCATAAATTTCTGAATATTGACTTTGTACCTACTATCTTGCCAAATTCACTTATCAGGTCAAGTAGTTTTTTGGTAGAGCCTATGGGGTTTTCTATGTACACTATCATGTTGTCTGCAAACAATGATAGTTTTACTTCCTCCTTTCTAACTTGGATGCCTTTCATTTATTTTTCTTGTCTGATGGCTGTGGCTAGAACTTTTAGTACTATGTTGAATAAGAGTGGTGAAAGAGGACGCTCTTGTTGTTCCTGATCTTACGGGGAAAGCTTCTCCCCCACATTGAGTATGATGTTGGCTGCAGGTTTCTCCTATATGGCTTTTATTATGTTGAGGTATGCTCTCTTTACTCTCACTTGCTGAGTGTTTTTATCATAAATGGGTGGTGGATCTTTTAGCTATAGTCTGACCTTTAAGATCTAACTTATCTCTGAAATCTTCCCCAAAAGCACTAAATTGAAATGCTATTTGCATTCTCTGAATTTCTATAGCATTTAGTATCATACGTTAATTTGATATTCTCTACTTTCAACCAACCTCTACTCCTTCCTACTCTACCAACCTGCCACCTATTGCTATAAATTAAAAATGTTCCCTTTTGCGAGCTTTTAGCTTTTTGGTATTCCCATGATTGGCATCTACAGATGCTCAACATCTGCTTGACCTTACTTAAGTTGTATAACCTAAGTAAGATGTCACTTTTGTTATTATTAGTATGCAAGTAAAATGTACCTCCAGCTCATCTCCCAGGTCTATACTCTATAATTTCATGATGTATTGCTTCTCATCACCACTTTTCACCCTCCCTTTTCCTCCTGAGATGGTCTTTTCACTCATGCCCATAAACTCAACTCCTTGCCCAGAGCTGTCATGACCCGACCCTCCATATCCCTTGTTTCACTGACATTTTGCATGTCCTCTCTGGAGCCTCTCCTTAGGTCAGCTCCACAGGCAGAAATTTAGCAACATGAAAAGACCACGTTATCTACTCTTAGTAATAAAAACATAAAACTTACCAAATAATACAGAAATGAGAGGTTCGTTGCAGCTGCACTTTTCACTCGACTGTCTTTTTTTTCAAACATTTTTAAGGTCTCTACAGCCTGGAAATGAAATACCTGAAAGTTACTACCTTTGTAATATGACAGTGTTTAGGCTTACAGTTGGGAAAAGATTAGGGTCTGAAGTATACAACCAGGGATGAACAGAAGATGGTGCATTAATATATTTGAGAAAACAGATGACAAGATGAGAATTTCATTTGAGAATTAAAATTTACTGAAAATAACACTAAAAATACAATGACTAAAATTAAGAAAACAATAGGTGGGTTTAATGGCAGATTATATATAGCTATAGAGAGGAGTAAACATCAAGCTTGTGAGTCTTGTGACACAGTTTGGTCTGTCCTTCATAATGAAGTGGATAGTAAGGTTTAACCTAAAAAACGTGATCCAATTTGCTCTTTGCAAAATAATTACAGAATTTCTGCTTCTGACTATTAGGAACTGGCCCATAGAAGACCATTCTCCCACAGAGAACAATTAGAAAAGTTATATAAAATACTAAAAAAATATATTTTAAAGATTTTATTTATTATTCTTAGAGAGAGGGGAAGGGAGGGAGAGAGAAAGAAATATTGATGCATAAGAGAAACATTGATCAGCTGCTTTTTGCATGCCCCCAACTGGGGTCCTAGCCTGAAACAAAGCCATGTGTCCTGACCAGAAATTGAACAGAAAACCTCTCTGTTTGTGAAACAATGCCCAACCAACTGAGCAACACCAGTCGGGGCCTAAAAATATTTTTTGAAGACACTGAATAGCCACTGACGCAATCAGGATTCAAAGGTCAAACAAGATCCCAGAAAATGTTCCAACTAAATATAAGAAGCACAGCAAACTAAAAGGCTAAAAAATATTCTTAGAAAAGAACATAAGAGACAGAGAGAAACACAGTGAAATCTCAGATAAATATAACTGGAATTCCTGAAAGGGAAGTAAGACTAGTGGCTGAGAATTTTCCAAAACTGATGACAGAAAATAACTCTTTGAGTATTACAAAAACTCATCTGAAGTAGATCCAAATATAACTATTGGGTTGGCCAAAGAGTCTGTATGTTTTTTTTTCCATAAAATAAAAGACACATTTTTCATTTTCACCAATAACTTTATTGATATGGATATTTTAAGCATATCAGCTGTCTCCCATGTGGTATAACATTAATTGTTTGAAATGGATATTTTGAGTATGTTGGCTATCTCCCATGTGGTATAATGTTGATTGTTTTCAATTAATGTTTTGATTTGATCGCTATCAACTTCAAAGGTCTACCCTATTGTGGAGCATCATCCCTTGAGAAACCTCCAGCATGAAACTTTGAGAACCACTTTTTACACATTTGATCAGTCATAGCACCTCCTCCATATACTACACAAATCTTTTTTTGCATTTCAGTTGCATTTTTACCTTTCTTGAAATAATAAAGCATAACATGCCAAAAATATGTATATTCTTCCATCTTCAATATTAAAATGGCTACACAAAAATTCACCAACTTTGATAAATTTTTTAAAAACTGCACACTGATGTGTCAGCTGTCACAATACAATCTAACAACATTATTTCAAATGAAGTTAAAGACGACTAGGCGCTACTAGAGCCATCTTATGGAAAACAAACAAACAAACAAACAAACAAACTTTTTGGCCAACCCAATACATTTTCAAGCCATTAAAAATCAAAGTACACTTTGAACCACCTAGAGGTCTGAGATAATCATAACCAAACAGGACAGTTGGAATGGTCAGACACCTTGCATGAAAGATGAATGAATCATCAGCCTCAAAATTACTGAAAAATATCAGGGGGGTCCTAGTTGGCATGGCTCAGTGGATTGAATACTGGCCTGTGAACCAAAAGATCGCTGGTTTGATTCCTAATGTAGGGCACATGCCTGGGTTGCAGGCCTGTTTCCCAGTAGGGGGTGTGTGACATGCAACCACACATTGATGTTTCTCTCCCTCTCTTCCCATCTCTAAAAATAAATAAATAAAATTAAAAAAAATATACTAAAATCAGGGGGAAAAAATGTAGAGAAAGATGATGCATCCTCCTTCCCTCCCTCCCTCCCTCCTTCCCCTTTTCCCTCCCTCCCTCTCTTCCTCCCTTCCTTGCTTCCAAATGCATTTACTGACTAGAAAAATGCTTGGTCCCTTTGTGCCTCCTGCTCCCAGAGAGCATTGTGTCCATATAAAAGTCCTATTTGTGCTTTCACAATGGCCATCAGCTATTGGTACTTAAAATATCTGACAAAGTCTGACCTGCATGCTGCTTAAGCATCAGACCTTAAAGTACCATACTAGATTCCATAAACCTTGGTTATAATATGAATAAATAATTATTTACAGGGTGTTTGATTACTTTAAAACTGTTGGGAGTTTCTAGGGCAGCAGTTTTTAATTCCACAAAATAAATCCTGGAAGAAAAAAATCCAAACATGCCCTCGCTTTTGAGATTCTCTTTCTTATTTACTCTATAAAACTGCCAAGAAGCTCCTAAAACTTACACCAGAAGTGACTGCTGCTTGTATTACCCAGGGAGGTCACTCATTGACCTGTTACTCAGACTCCATATTATTCAGGTAAAAGTCAGTATTTATGTAAGTTTATAAGCTGCATTTCAATTTGAATAAGAATTGAGATGTTTTCATCTTTACTTTTGGATTGTGTTGCAAACATATGTGCTAATTCAAAGGTATGTGAAAAGGAATTAATATACAGCCATTAAACTCTGAAGTCCTGTGAGAGGGAAAGAAAGCTGCTCCCTGGTATGTGACAACCATATTGAAAAGAAAGCAGAAATTACATTCTTAAAACATAGGTAAACTATTTGTTATTAAAATCATGAACTATGGCAATACCTTGTTAAATCTTTCTAAAAAGACCATTTTAAAAAAGTACTGGGAAAATTAGCAAACATGGTTTTTCTCTATTTTGTGACCCGTAACAGTACTCTTATAAAAACAAAACCTCCTGTACATGCCCTGACCTGGCATCAAACTCACAACCTAGGTATGTGTCCTGACTGGGAATGAAACCCACAGTCTTTTGGTGTGCGGGATGATACTCAAACCAACCAAGATACCACCAGCCAGGGCTATTCTGGTTTTGTCACAATTATGTCTCTCACCTGTTCCACCTCCACCTAAGGTCGTAAGAAAGCAGTGGTACCAGTGAGAGGTCCTAGAGGGCTCTCTAACTATGTTGTCAATGGGACTCTTTTAGGCCCGATGCAATGTCAATGAGTAAACCAATTACATAAAACAGTGAGGAGGAAAGCTGCCAAGGTGCAAATAGTGGGTGGAAGCCTCGGGCTGCTCTTCTGGCTCCTGGCCTTCCTTCTCCCACACATAATACTTGATTCTGAAAAACCTTAGAGCTTTAGCTTGAAAACTTCTATTAAAAAGTTGATCTCTGGACTAGAACTAGATTTAGTAATTTAGCAACCAATGATGTTTTACATGAAAAGCATTTACATTTTAAGAAACAGGAAAACAGGTCAAAATTCAAAGTAATGCCATACTAATGCAAATTATGTTTAAACAGAAATCACACAACTTCAGAATATTCAGAGGTAATGTTACTCTAGAAAGGACTTTCCGAATATTATTGCTTTCATTAATTAACATATGAAATTTCATCTAATTTTTAAAACTTACTTGGTTAAAGTCCTTCTGTCTCAAGTACGTAATAGCTTTGTTTATTTCCAGATCATTTGCTAGCTCTATGTATTGAGAAGCTTTCACAACTTCCACACACCTGTAATGTAAAGTGGGAAAAAAAATTATTTTGCTTTAGTATATTTATATTGTTGGTAGTTTTCTTAAATGTGACTATTGAAAACAACTTTTAAGTGTCCCTAGTGTTATATAAGGCTAAGTACTTGATTTCTTCCAATAAAGGCATTAAGCTACTGAATTCTTCAGTTCTAAATTAATATCCTCATCCAATTTTTTTTGGATTTTTTCCATTTTCATTTTTATATAAAAGTGTTAAGACCACAATGAAAAAAGTTTTTTATCCATATATGTAATAAACCAGTTTGTGAGCTACATATTTTTCTTTCCCATCTTCAGAAATGTTCTCACATTGACAATGGGTGGATAGCATCATGCCCAAAGACATTGGCCATACAGTAAAACAAACAAACCCAGATGTACTATGACACAATTGAGGTAAAAGGGGAAACAGAAAAATTTAACATTTGTCCAAGAAAGATTTTTTTCTTTTCTTGATTTTGTCAGAAAAATACCAAACACAGTGATTTAAATTAAAAAAAAAATCACAAAAACCTGTTTTTTAGCATAAGTGAATGACAGCTCCTCGGCTCAGACGTCATCACTATTGGTTTTCCTAATAATCCACAAATCCACAGGGAAGTGTAAGTCAACATCAGGGGCCAGTGGTGGCATAAAATTAAAAAATATAAACCAAGTACCCCACCTGGTATACCCCCTTTTTCCTAACCCCTCTACCCTCCCTCATTCTCCCTCCCCCGCAACAACCCCTCATGACCCCAACACTCAAATCTCCATCAGATCTAGGTCAGCTTCTTCAAAGCCATAGAAGGACTCGGTCTCACTTTCACCCTCAAAGAACTGGTGAAGGCTTTCAGGCTCAGTTGTCTCTTCGTGAGATGACCTGGGTCGAGGAGTAGAAGCTGAGTGCTCCTCAGACTGTTCCCCACTCAGCTTCAGTTGCTCCTCTAGGGAGGCAATTAGCTCCTCCTGCATGTCAGCATTTCTTGTAGGTGAGTTTATGTTGCCATCAGGGCCAGGCAGAACACTAGCCACAAGGAAGGACCGCTGAACCAACTCTGGATTGTCCCCAATGACAGCCAACACCTCAGCCAGACCACCACTAGCTGCAGCAGGACATCAGAATCACACACACTATCTGCCATTTTCCGAGCCTGTTCCTTCCACTTTTTGTGCAGGAAGTTCTTGACCATTCGTTTGATGCATACATCTAATGGCTGAATTTTGGAGCTACAGCCTGCTGGGACCACTGCAGGCAAAGTGCTAGAGGCACTAAGCATAGCCAGCACCTCTTCTGACAAGTGGGTGCAATGACAGTCCATCACAAGCAAGCCTTTGCTGCGCTGGCAAGCAGTGTGCTTCTGCCACACATGGGTGGACCACAGCTCCATGATCCCATCATCACTGTAGCCACTTTCCTTTGCCTCAAGCAATATAGAGTCTGGCATGTTAGCTGATCCATTTGTCCTCGGTAGAAAACCAGAGTGGGGAGGACAGTGCCATCTGCCAGAATGGCCAGCACCACATCACACCAAGGTTCCCCTGTGCCCACTGTCTGCAGGGCATTCTCCTTTCGGTCATCACTGCTTAACACTTCTGTGTCCAGAAACAAGGAGATCTCATCAATGGCCACAATCATAGACAACGTTAAGTCCTGGTTATGAATCTGCCGTTGTACAAATTCAATGAAGAGTCCTGCATTCTCTGCCACATCCTTAGGTAGGGTATGGGCCACAGAACACCGGGCATGGGGAGTCAGGTGGTGCCGCAGCATGAAACGCACAGCCCACTCATAAGAGATCTTAAACCCTCCCTCCAAAGAACGTCCTATTTTGGTGGCCTTCTGGAACAAGGTCTCCTCATTTACAGGTAGCTGTTGCTCTTGTTGGGTAAGCACCCACTCATCCAGTTTCTCTTCTGCCTCGAAGCTCAGATATTTGCCCTCCAGATTCTCCCCCTGGGAGGCCTGGAAGCGCTGAAGCCAACCGCGAATGCATCGCTGAGGGTTTCAGAAATGTTCAGCTGCTTGTTCTGTATCACAGCAAAGGGCAAACAGTACCACTCGAAGCTTCTTCACAGACAGCTGCTCCTTCTTGCCAACTGCACTGCTACTCCCTCCTCCTGAGGCTGGCTCAGGTTCCTGGGTGACTGGGCTCCCTTCATCCTGGTCATCAACATTCAGACATTCAGCCCCCTCTGAGGCCAAAGGTGGGAGGGCTAATGGTTGGGGGTGAGTGGGAGTTGGTGGTGGGGTTGCAGTTGAAGCTGGTGATGGGAGGGCCTGGGCCATGGGCATTGGTAGCTCTTCAGGCTCAGCTGGGGTGGCCCCCGAAGATTTCACAGTGGCAGCTTTATGAGAGGGGAAGGAAGGAGGAGGGTACATATTCTTCAAGTTCTGGTCATGCACTCGGTCATGAGGCTGGCCATGCCTTGAATGAGATATCCAAGTGAGTGCTCGTGGAAGAATGCTCCTGTATCTGTGAGAGGGGTTGAATACCAAATGCTTGGCCATGGCATCTCCCACAGAGGTAATAAAGGTACAGGAAGTGTAGGCCAGCTTGATGCCACTCACAGAATTTTTAAAAAACGCCGAATACTTGGGGCTCTTCCGTGGAACATGGTTGTTGATCATGTGGTTGGCATAGGCTTGAGAACAACAGGTGCTATAGCGGCACAGAGAGCAGTGAACGTAAGTAGGAAAATGATTAGGGAAGTCTGGGATCTCAAAGCTGCACTCCCGACATGTCTGCCGGCCCATGACACTCATTTTCCTAACAGCTCTCTTCTGGATGTTACACTGAACAGGGGGATAAAGGAAGACTGGCAGAGGGTCTGTTGATGAGGTCAGTGGTCCTGCCTCCTGCAAGGTGCTGGGAGGTGCTTCATTGGAGGCGATCGGAACAGTTCATGACTGCCCTCGGGAAGCCCGGATTGTCACCTTGGTGCCTGGTTTCAAACCTTCCAGCTGCTTGGGTTTATGAAAGGTTTTATGGTGCTGAAGCTTGTGTTCAATTTTGTCCTTGGCAAAGAGAAATTGAAGCCGGCATTTGTTGCAATGATAAACGTTCCTCTTCTGGTGCCTCATGTAATGCTGTTGGAATGCGTTGCCATTTTTGAAGACCTTCAGGCAGTACGGGCACAGCAGATGCCGAGTATCATGGATCATCCAAAAATGGACATCTACCTCAGGGTAGAGTGAGGAGCGATATTGACATACCTGGCAAACGTAAGGCATCTCTCCAGGCTTATGAGTATCCTTCATGTGCTGGAGAAACAGTGGTTCACTCTCAAATGCCCACTCATAGATCTTGCACTTGGTAGTTGATTCATAGGGACTATGAACATTTTCCAAGTGGCACTGCAGCTGGAAGGGAGTAGAAAACTGGCGATAACAGTGTTGGCAGATAGTATGACCATCCACTTCACCATTTTGCTGATCAAGTTCTACATGGTGTTTCATATGGTTCATGAATCGAATGTTGTTTTTTAGCCTTTTGGTACAATGTGGGCATCAGAATGATGTGGCAACTTTAGGAAAGTTTGTGAGTTGGGCTACTTTGCCACCATCCCGTCCGTAGTAGAAGTCATCTACTAGCATAATGAGCTTGGTCTGGACAGCATCACCCACATTCTCATTTGGCTCTGATACTTTGGTAGGTGGTGATAAAGCAGGAATTGGTGTTGAAGATGGTGTGGAAGCAACAGGAACTCTTTTCTCAGGTGATGAGGGCTTTGCTGCTGATGGGACACTGGGTTCTGAATCCAGAGACTTTCCTTTCTTCTGGTATTCAACCATTTCTGGGCAACAGTAACACATGTGACCTCCAAAAGCTTCAGCTACACGGAATTGAGCATTACACCGTGGACATATTTTCCAACCACCATCTTGGAGATCAAACACAGGAATGGAAGAGGTCACTTTCATTGAAGACTCAGGTCCACTGGTTCTCTGAGAGCCATGGGAAGAGCTGTTGTTGGATACCACCACTGGCCCGGGACTCTGGCCCAGGGAAGGGATGGTGTTAAGGGTATTCACCAGTTTGGCCACTTCATTGCTATTTTCACCTGTAACCCCAGGTCGCTTCACAGTGACAAAGCTGGTAATGCTCACTGCAGGTAGAGAGGGGAAGGAGGGAGCTAGCTTGGGATTCGAGGTCTGGTTGGCTTGGCCTGGAGGCTGAACCACTAGTTGCCCCAAGGAGGTCGGCTGTGTGGCAGTGGGAGTGGTGGAAGTGCTGGGAGTAGACTTGGTCTGCTGGGACTGGGACTGTAGGATGGTGCTTCGAATGGTGAGAGTGGCTGGGATGACAGTGGTGAAGGTGTTGGTGGTGGGCCGCACAGGCATTGCAGAGCTCGGCCTCATCAGCGTCATCTCAGAAAACACCTGTGGGACTCCAACTGTCAGCTTAACAAACTGGGTACCTGGGGCCGGGACTAGCCTAATTGGTCTCACTGTTTGGCCTTGCTGTACGTTCAGCACAATCCCAACCTGATTCATTGCATTTTGTACAGGCTGGACATTTCTTACCGGAAATCCCTTTGTAGTGATGAATATTGGTTGTGAGGCCACAGGGGAACTAGTCACATGATTGGCATTCTGCATGACCTGGACAGGCCTCAATACTGGTTGACTAACCATTGTGCCCAGACCTGGGGCTGGATTCTGGGTTAGGATGAGCGGCTGTCCACCTTGTTGGACCAAAGAATTGCCAGCATTGTTGTTGGCAATTAGTGTGACAAGAGTCTTCTTTGTACTGTCGCTGTTCTGTACCCTGCTGCTCCTAATGGTGATGGATGTAGAGAGGTGCCCAGCAACAGAAGCATGGGCAGCGATGGGCACTGGAGCCGAGACTGGCTGCTGGCTCACAGAAACTGTAGCAGTTTTATCCACTGAATTACAATCTTCAACTACAGAATCTTCAATGACATCACTGATTTTTTGCCATGGTTCCAGGTCTTCCTCCTCACATTTCATAAATAGGTCGGTGTCCGCCATGCTCC